TACTCGCACGCACACACCGTACTACATCAGCAGGATCTTACCGCAACCTCTCACAAGAAAATCATATATTCATCATATTAATGTGACACTAAGGGGGTGTTTACACAACACTGTTTTCAACTAAATAGAAAACTTTTATGTGCTTTGGTCATTCATTTACACAACAATTGCGTTTTGGTTGCCTGAAAACACAAACTTTCGAAAATAGGTTTCAAAGTGCAAGTTTTTGAAAACGATACTGTTACTGTCTCAGTATAAACTACAAAAACGTAAATTTGTGAAAACTGTGTAGGGAAAAGCCTATGACCAGTTTGATGATAAACCACAATAAAAAGTCCTGACAGTTAGTATTACCATTTCATTTTTTAAGCATTATTAAAACCGTATTTGATTATCGCGATTTGAAAAACTCGAGGTAAATACTGCTCAGAGTTAAGCAAAGTTAGCAAGAGTCTCACGCAGGCACAACAGTGTAGGTTTGTTTTTGTGTGAAAACATAACGCAAGACAGAGTGCTCAAAGAAATTCTATGAAAGAATGTATGAATTAATTAATTCTATGAATGCATAAGGGACAACCGACTGTCTTCAGAAAAGTGTCAATTGCATTTGTTTTTCATCTTTCCTCCATGAAACGTCTAATACAGTAATGTTTATAAGTGCAGCGCTGCTTTGTGTACAGTGTTTACTGGGAAAGCCGGTCTATTTCTGCTGTTCATAAGCGCCACCTGCTGTCAGATAGTGGAGTTACATTTTCATTCAGTCTGTCTGGAGTTTGTGTTCAGACCAATGCAAAAATTGGACCAATCCAGTCTGTTTTAAATCCTAACTGGTAGATGGAAAACAAGCTAATGTGCATTCTAAAAATCTCAACACTTTGAATAACAAGGTAGCCTATTTATAATTATTTATGAAGCAGAAAAAATGCCTATAATTTATCATTTTGACTCATCCTTTTTTACAAATAAAGACTGAAATGTGAGGTTTATCATTTTATAAAGCTTTATTTGAATATGTAGTACATGTTAGTAGATAACATGTTATGTTGTGTGCATGCGTGTGTGTGTGTGTGTGTGTGTGTATACGTATATGTATGTATACACACACACACACACACACAAACACACACACACACACACACACACACACACATACAGTATATATATATATATACACTAGTCCTGTCAAATGATTAATCGCAATAAAAGCTATGTGTACTATATGTATGTGTACTGTGCATATTTATTATGTATATATAAATGCACACACATACATTATATATTTTGAAAATATTTACATGTATATACATTTAGATATTTATATTCCACACACACATACAGTATATATATATATATACACTAGTCCTGTCAAATGATTAATCGCAATAAAAGCTATGTGTACTATATGTATGTGTACTGTGCATATTTATTATGTATATATAAATGCACACACATACATTATATATTTTAAAAAAAATATACATGTACTTACATGTATATTGTAAACAAAAACTTTTATTTGGATGCGATTAATAACGATTAATCGTTTGAAAGCACTAATACACACACACACACACAAAAGTGCATAGTGCTGCTAACTGTATTTGATGTTTGTTGTTTTTCAACATAAAACTTGGTGAAATTATTTCAGTGTGTATGAGTACTTTCCAGCACACTTTAATAATACTGTGATAATATTGATAACCATGATAATTTTGGTCACTATAATCGTAATAAGAAACTCCATTTAATCTCTAAAATGGTGACATCATGCACATGCATGTTACATGTTTAGTCTATATGAACGCATAGGCGCATAGTGTTTCTTTACTAAGAGACATCGCCAACTACCTGCATAGCATGAATAATAAAGCACTTTTAGACACTTTCGCTGATCTGTGTAAACAGGGATCATTTTGACAACGTTGTCATTTTTATGTAAAAATCTTTAAAAACGCAAAGAAAAAACTTTTCCATTTTTAATATAAAGTTGTTGTGTAAACATACCCTAATGCAGACTAGGTAATTTTCTTTCATAATACAACAAATGATTATATAAATGGCTATGTTGCATGGCATTGTTGGATTATAGTGTTAATAGTTCTGTTTTCATTGTGTCCCTTTGAAGGGCATTTGGGCTTTACTTTCTTTTAGCCACCTTTTAAGCCATCTCCAATTTGTGTACAAATACCACGTCCCCTAGTGGCAGTCACACAGAACTTTCTAACTGGTCTTTACCCTCTGCTTATTTATGATGGTAAAATGAATGAATAATAACTGTCTGAATATTTCCACACAAAACAAATGATGGCCAATACATTTGAAGGTAAAGCATAGTAAAGAATAACATTTTAGTGCATAAATATCGGTAATTCTCAGCTCGTGCTTATAGTTTTGTTTAGGATATATCACATCCAGTCAGGCGGTTTCACATGGCCTAGCTGCCAATATTTGAATATTTCAACATGTCTGAAGTTCAAACCGGATCCCAAATTATTTGCATATACATACAGTCAGAACTTTACACAGCTCCCGTACTGCTCACCATTATAAATTAATGAGTTTTGGTCTGTCGTTTGTGTTGGAAAGTCAAAAAGTGGTGATGGTGGTGTTACAGTTGCTACAGTTTTAGTATAGACATTATATGTACAGTACATAAGGTTAGTAATTAGCTCTTATTGAGTGCAAGTTAGGATCAGAATTACTCTACACTTTACTGTATGTTGCATTTTATAGTAAAATAAAACATTATCAGTTAAATGTGTTTCTGGTGAACTTTATGTGCTTTCAAAACCTGACAATGGAGACAACATAGACTCATAGATATTATAGCAAATAGTAAAACACAAATCTGTACAATTTGTTCATTCTGCAGCACATGTGTTAGCATAGTGCTGTGGCGTTTGGATATGACACTACTACAGTTAATGTGTAAATATCAGACAACTCTCAAATTGCAAATTGCAGACACGCAGAATAATTGTCATTAAACTAGTAAGCAGGAACGTGCTGCAAATCCACACTGACAATTGTTACACCGTAGACCAGCACGTTCATACGGGGGAAAAATAATCCTCCGCTGAAACCATAGCAACACTCCCTCTCACCCTCGCTCTTCAAAATTAATCGTGTCAATTTAGTACACCATCTGTTCAGGGTGAACTTGCTAAACGCCTGTTTAAAAATACTTTATTAAGCACAGTATGGAGCGTTTCAGAGTTAGGGCCATCTGTCTCCACGCGGCCTCGTCCAGCCTGAATGTGAACAACTGACACTCGCTGATCTGTAATCGGAGTCTCGCACACTTGAGCTTGTTAAAGATCTCACACGAGCGCTTTGTGGGCGGAGACTGGCGGCGAGAGAGCGCTTTAACACATTAACAGTCTGAGAAGCAGAAACACTTGCTGTAATGATGAGCGGTGTGCAGCGATACACCCAGCTGTTCGTCTCTCCACACTCGGCCAGTTTTCCAGAGCTGCTGTGTTTCTAGAGCCCTGTTATGAAAGGGCATGTCAGCACCGCTCAAAGCGGCTTCATTATTGTGACAAGGATGTCACGTTAAATCTATTTGGAAACTGCATTACTTTGCTGGGACTTTTCAGAGTTGCTTTTTTTAATGTTATGAACAACAGATTGAGTTCAATCTCAGCCGTACTATGTAATAAATATAAAACCTATGAAAATGTGTGTCCTTAGTATTTTTATTATGACGTTTGCTTGAGATTACACTATATTATCTGACCAATATTATGCTATAAGATCTGACCAACAGAGAGTTGGGTAATAAATTTATAACATTTTACACATCTCATCACAACCTTCCAGCACTTAACAGCTCTGCCATGTCAAATATTGCACACAAAAGCCATTACCTCACAGGAGAGACCGGCGTATCCCAGAGGACAGTCACATTTCTCAATCTGATGGGCGATTTCACTGTCCTGTGAGGGCGTCCCCACCTCAGCCACCTCCAAAGTGATCTCAGAAATCCTGCACACCAATCCAAAACATATATGAGCCACATAAATAAGCCAAAACTTATGAAACTAGTTTTTCCCAGTGCTATTTTAGTATCGCTGAGTTATAGGTTTTGATTAATTTGATCAATTTATTAATTTACTTTTTGTTTTTTAATATTTTCCATTTACATTTTAATTTTAGTTAAAGTTTTAGTAATTCTATTGTGTGTTTTTCCATTTTTTTGTATTATTAACATGTCTATACAGTTTTAATTTTAGTTATTTTAGTACAAGTTGAACTAATTGCCTTGGGAATTAAATAATGAATTTTGGCTAGTGGATTTTGCATACCTGAGCCACTCCACGTGCATATGGGTATAAATAGGCGACAGGTTCATCCACTCCTCAGATTTTTGCTTCGGAGCCAAGTGGGTGAATGATTTCTTCTCCACAAAGCCTTTCTGATCTGACTGGAAGCAAATGTCCCGCAGCAAATGTCCCGTGCGGCTCCCGAGTGATTTCTCTGGCCCGGCTCTTGACGGTCTCAGCATTTCATTCAGTGCACCGCCGGAGGATCAGCTGTCGCCGGAGGATCGGATGTCGATCGCAGCATCGGGGGATGGGCTATCGTCCTCCTAGGATGAAGATCGACAGCCGATCCTCCAGCGGCGCACCGAATGAAATGCTAGGACCGTCACGAGCCGGGCCAGCGAAATCACTCGGGATCGGAACCGGAAGTGACGGCCGTGCTTTCCCAGGCTGTGAGTATCGGGCTGGAGATGTGCATGCCATGTCAAATATTGCACACAAAAGCCTTTTCTTTTAGAACCTTTTGTTCAGTTTTGTTTCTGTTCTGCCACTGGTCCAACGGCCAGCGGTACCCACATTCTCGAAAAAAGAGCAGTTTCCTTTTCCTCCGGGTTATCAGGCTCATGGGTTGACAGTGAGCGACGCGCTGCCTCCTCACTCTCACCCACGACGCCCCCTATCGCCAGCAGCCAAGAGATCGCGGCTCGGAGACACGCTGCCTCTCCCTCCGGGGACACGGGGAGTCCTGCTGTGATGAGCCAGGACGCGAAGCCTTCTGTGCCATCCAGCATGACTTTCCACCGCTACACCACCGCGGTGCCGATTGTCCCTTTGGTGCCACTCGCACGAAGCTTGGAAGCCTGACTCGCGCTGCCCAACCCGTCCAGCTGGCTCATTCGGACAGTTCACCAGGTGACCCCCCAGGTTCAGCGGTGTTCTTGAGACTTCGGTGGCAGCTTGAGATACCCCTGTCCTGTGCGACGAGATTGCTGTCCTACTGGCGAAGGACACAATCAAGCCTGTCCCTCCAGCCGAGATGAAGTCAGGGTTTTACAGCCCTTACTTCATCGTGCCCAAGAACGGCGGTGGCCTTTGGCCAATCCTGGGTCCTTCACAAGCTCCCATTCAAGATGTTGACGCAGAAGCACATCATTAGATGCATCCAGCCCTAGGATTGGTTTGCAGCGGTCGACCTGAAGGACGCTTACTTTCATGTCTCGATTCATCTTCGACACAGGCCGTTCCTACGGTTTGCGTTCGAGGGTCGGGCATGTCAGTACAGGGTCCTCCCCTTTGGGCTATCCCTGTCCCCCGTGTCTTTACGGAGGTCGCCCTTGCCTCGTTATGAGAAGTGGACATCAGGATCCTCAACTACCTCGATGACTGGCTCATCATGGCCAACTCATCATAGTTGTGCGATCACAGGGACCTGGTGCTCCGGCACCTCAGCCAGTTCGGGCTTCGGATCAACTGGGAAAAGAGCAAACTCTCCCCCGTGCAGAAGATCTCTTTTCTCGGTATGGAGTTAGACTCTGTAACTATGACAGCGCGTCTCACCAACGAGCGCGCCCAGTCAGTGCTGAACTGCCTGAGTTCCTTCAGAGGCAGGAACGTGGTATCTATGAAACACTTTCAGAGGCTCCTGGGGTATATGACACCCGCAGACACAGTCACGCCACTCAGATTGCTTCATATGAGACCACTTCAGCACTGGTTACCATTACACATTACCATTACACGCCACCTATTCAGCCCCTGGACAGACCTTGCCTTTCTACGGGCCGGGGTGCCCTTAGAACAAGTGTCCTGGCATGTCGTTGTCACGACAGATGCCTCCAGTATGGGTTGGGGTGCTACATGCAACGGGCAGGCAGATTCTGGGCTCTGGACAGGGCCTCGACTGCTTTGGCACATCAACTGCCTAGAGCTGTTGGCAGTGAATCTGGCTTTGCAGCAGTTCCGGCCATTGCTGCAAGACAAGCACGTAATGGTTTGCACGGACAACACTGTGGCTGTCTCGATCACGTAACATGTCACAGCTCGCCCGTCATCTCTTCCTCTTGAGTCAGACGCGGCTCAAGTCGCTGTGCGCCGTCCACATTCTGTGGGAGCTCAATCGTGCAGCCGACGCTCTCTCACGACAGGTCACGTTCCCCCGGAGAATGGCGAATCCATCCCGAGACGATCCGGCTGATCTGGAGTCGATTCGGGGAAGCACAGGTAGACCTGTTTGCTTCCCAAGAGTCCTCCCACTGCCAGCTGTATTACTCCCTGATCGAGGCCCCCCTCGGCACAGATGCACTGCCACACAACTGGCCTCAGGCTCTATGCAAGAACACGTTTCCCACAGTGAGACTTCTCGCACAGACACTATGCAAGGTCAGGGAGGACGAGGAACATGTCTTGCTGGTTGCGCCTCTCTCTACTGTCCTGGCTGGCCTTCAGAGGGCTCCCTTTGAGCCGCTGGACTCAGTTGAGCTTAAGATCTTGTCTGCTAAGACAGCGCTCCTGACTGCGCTCACTTCCTCCAAGCATTTGCGGTGAGCGAAGAGTGCCTTGTGTTCGGTCCGGCCTACTCTCACGTTGTCCTGAGACCCCGGCCTGGATACGTGGCCAAGGTTCCCACCACGCCCTTTCGCGATCAGGTGGTGAACCTGCAAGCACTGCCCTCGGAGGAGGCAGTTCCAGCCTTGGCGTTGCTGTGTCCCGTAAGAGCGTTGCACATATACGTGGAATGCACCAGGAGCTTCAGAAGCTCTGAGCAGCTCTTTGTCTGCTACGGAGGTCAGCAGAAAAGGAAGGCTGTCTCCAAGCAGAGGTTGGCCCACTGGATAGTGGATGCCATCGCCTTGGCCTACCAATCCCAAGGAGAGCCGTGCCCACTGGGGGTGAGGGCTCACTCCACATGGAGAGTTGCACCTCCTATGTGCTGGCGCACTGTGCCTCTCTGGCAGACATCTGTAGAGCTGCGGGCTGGGCGACACCGACTTCACAGGATTTTACAGTCTCCGCGTTGAGCCGGTTTCTTCCCGTGTGTTGGGTAACAGGTAAGTAGCGTGAAGAGCCGGCTTGCTGCGCCATTCCACTTGCTGTGCCATTCCCATTCACCCGGGGATGTGAGCACTTTTTGCTCCTCCAGTAAGTTCCCCGGACGGTGAACCCTGGGAGAGTATCCTCCAGCACCCCCGGAGCGGAGCAGTCTGATGCCAGTCTGATGCCAGGCCAGGCCGGGTTTCCGGTCAGCCCCTTTACTGGGCTAGGTGTACATATGGCTTGATTCCCTGCGGACGATCCAATAAGGTTTCCCTCTCTGTGAACCCGTGTCTTCCCTTTGACAGACCACTCTGTCAGTCTCTGCTGGCAGCCGTTCCTTCCTACTCCTAGGTAGGACCTGCCTCAGAGATCCATTCCATATGTAGTACAGCCCGAGGCCTGGGTCAGTTCATGTCATTGTCTCCACATGATACCTCCCTACAGGCAGGATGTGGTCTCCGTAGTGCCCTTCTCCGGAAGGCTCACTTCCTCTTCGCTACTGCCAAGCTGTAAACAACAAACAGGAAAGGCGTGAAGCACCTTTTCCTGAAGGTCGAAATCCCTTCTCTTAAGAAAAGATTTTCTGTCATAGGAACAGCGGCTTGGCTATCTCCAGCAGCGATGCACTCACCTTTTGGTCCCTGCGGGTGCCAAGGTCAGTGATTTGGGCTGGGGCGTTGGGAAGGTTATGACCTTTGCATAGCATTTGTCTGACACGCGGCTGCTTTTCAACATTTGCAGCGCTACAGGGTTGTGACAGGGTTCAGGTTGTGGCGCTTTCCATGGACCCCCTATGTCGTCATGACATAACTCGTAGTGACCGACAGATAGGGAACGTTTCAGTTACGTACGTAACCCTCGTTCCCTGATGGAGGGAACGGAGACGCTATGTCCCCATGCCACAACCTTGAACCATCGCTGGTTGCCAGGGACACGTTCTCGGCTCCTCAGCGTAAAACCTGATGAGTGGATGCACCTGTCGCCTATTTATACCCATATGCACGGGGAGTGGCTCAGGTATGCAAAATCCACTAGCCAAAATTAATTGCCGTTTTCTCTGAAAGTCAGAGCGGATTGGGGTTCTCAAGTAAACCCCCTATGTCGTCACAACATAACGTCTCCGTTCCCTCCATCAGGGAACGAGGGTTACGTCCCTAACCGAGACCATTTTTTATGAGAAGGACCTTGCTTGAGATCAGTTACCTGCTGTGTCTCATGACGCTGCCGTGTGAGGCCTTTATTAGTATATATTCGACATGAAACAGCACGTCCATGAAATCCTCACGAGACATCGACCTGTCATCACTGTTCTTCCACTCATGCTGCAAAACATCAAAGTTTTAGTGTATGCTTGAAGTAACTGTTGTAAATTAGATCAATTAAATGACTCTTGCACATGCAAACACTGTCATCACTCTCGTATAAGCGATCTGCTGTGTGTTTCAGTAAGTGGGAGGGGCTGAGCACTGACTCTCATCCCTGATTGGCTCACCTCTGTTATGTCAATCTCGTGACGGGTCAGCTGGCCAATCTGAAGCGCTGGCATGTGGCGAACCATGACCTTGTCCTTATTGGGGCCGCCCTTTATGATGACCTGGGGCTTGTAAGAGGTGCGGCCCGTCTCATCACGAGCCTCGTAATAGATGGCATACTTCAGCTTCCCACCATAGGCTGTTATCTGAGAGAACAACCTCTGAACGGTGAGTCTTGTTGTAATATTCATTAGCTGGCCTTGAAATTCAAAAATATTATTTAATATGACTGAAACAATTGGACTGTACATTTGTTTTCAAAAGTTTCACATCAGTTTTATTTAAAAAAAAAAAATTTTTTTTTAATTATTTTATTTAGCAATGCTGAAAAATGCTTTTGAACTATCTATTCCTCAAAAAATAAAATGTATCACAGTTTTCACAAAAATATTCAGCAACACAACTGTTTTTAATATTGATAATAATCAGAAATGTTTCTTGATCAGCAGCACTCCTGACATGCAGCAAATCAGCATATTAGAATGATTTCTGAAGGATCATGTGACACTGAAGACTGCACTAATGGTGCTGAAAATTCAGCTTTGATCACAGCAATAAATTACATTATAGCATATTCACACAGAAAACAGTGACATTTTTTCAATTGTAATAATATTTCACAATATTCATGTTTTTACTGCATTTTTGATCAAATGAATGTAGCCTTGGTGAGCAGAAGAGACTTCACAAGCATTAAAAAAATTACTGACCACAAAATCCATGTTACCACAATTTGGGACATATCTATTTTCTAGCATTGCTATATACTGTGTATGTATATATGTATAGTTCAGTCATGAAACTCTAGATGGCGCAGGCTGATGGGTGTTAATGTAACTGATGATATTCAGAGTTAAACGACTTGGCACAAGCTGATTGGTTCATGTTGCATATGCAGCCAATGAGCTTACTGCCTTGCATTTATATGGCTGGCTAGCATTCACTCGAGATTCCTACAGCGCACTTTCAGAGTTCACCGTATCGCATTTAGTTTATAGATACATTATATATAATGATAATTTGTGGCCATTTTACACACATTTTGCATGAAGAAAAAGGGTATATCAAATCATTCTGTTATAACATAGTTGAGAATTATCTTTATACAAAGTTTGGTAAAAAAAAATCCTGAAAACTAAAAATGTATTGGTGATTTTAAAAAAATCTATTGTTTTTGCCTATGCATGTTCATTCATGTCTTTTAATTTTTTTTAAAGAAATTGAGTCCCGATGTCCTCTACCAAGGACGTAGCATAACTTATGAATGAAATATCATTTTAAAAAATTTTTTAATGCTCTAAACAATGTAATGACATCAAAAAATACAATTTTTTTCCCCTAAAATGTTTTGCCGGGTCTTAAGAGGTTAAACAAGACCTGCACTTTGAGCTTACAAAGTCAACAAATGGCATTTACAATTTAGCTTAAATAATATTTCCAAGTGAAACAGAAAATTCAGTGGGATCTAATGTAGATTGGATTGTGAGAAATGGGTTGCGATATTATTATTGGTTAATGTTTGTCCTCACCCACGCAGCAGACATTTCAGAGGTGGAGAAAGTTATTACATCTCAAAGAAAGATTATGAAAACATTTTTTGTCATTAGTGCTACAGAGATATTTATTAAGTAAGCAGGGTGAAATTGCCACACAAAATAGTGTAATAGTGTTGTGTTTCAGTGTCAGTGTCTTTGAGGATTTATTTGTGTGTGTATTAAGAGGCATATTTTGGTAAATGTGTGTGTGTGTGTGTGTGTGTGAGGAACCCCACAGGGCGGCTAAACTACCCTCACATCAACACACAATCTCACGACTCACTGACTTAGAAAAAATCTCTCGTTTTCCCATAAATGAGCTAAAGGATTCCAAACTCCTCTCCGAAACTTAGATTAACTTTTGGACTGCAACCTTTGTTTAATTTGTTTGTCGATTTCATCATGTTGGAAAAGTGTCCTTCAGCCATATTCTGCTGTTTGTCTCCATGGACACGCTGACGCTGAGGATTAAGACGAGTTTGTGAACGTGCTGGAAACCCTTATTAAAAACAAACAAGGGCTCTGTGCGTCAGTGCTTTCTCTCTATCTTTGTCTCTCTCCGTTGCTCCTACACACTTAATTCTGTCCTGTTGTGAATATGGTTGAGGGAGAATGACAGCTAGGAAGCACTTGATATTTATTAAATTGACTGTTTCCCTGGTAACCGGAGCATCTCAGCCCACCTTGGGACAAGATGATTAAGAAAGCCATCAAAACACACACACAAACAGACACCTGTGTCCTCATCTCATCCACACCGTCACAACCAACATATAAAGCAAATAATAATTAAAACATATCTTTTGGTTAACAATCATAAGCACTCATAATCCTGTAAAATAACAGTAGAAATGGTTTGTAATTATTTAAAACTTCCATACATTAAAGGGGTGGTTCACTGTTTTTTTCTAGGCTTGATTGTGTTTATGGGGTGCAGTCTAACATGTGTTAATGCTTCATTTAAAAAAAAACAAACATAATTTTTCACCAGTGTTGGGCAAGTTACTTCCAAAATGTAATACATTATATATTACTAGTTACTTTTGAAAGTAATTAGTTACATTACAATATTACTGTCTCTGTAATGTGCAAACTGTGCGCAAGAGTTATGCCGGTGAGCGTCAGTAAATTCACTATAGAGAAAGTGAAAGTAAAACAACTGACGGAGCTTTCTAACGCTGCATTAACGGCACATATTCTCTGAGACAACAAGAGACAAAATTACTTCAATATAGGCTGATGATGGTATA